GCCTCTAGCGGCTGTCAATGAGACAGCCACTAGAGGCTGGATTAACCCTAATGTAAACATAGCAGTTTCTCTGAAACTGCTATGTTTATAGCAGCAGGGTTAACCCTAGATGGACCTGGCACCCAGACCACTTCGTTGAGCTGAAGTGGTCTGGGTGCCTATAGTGGTCCTTTAATTTAAAAAAAAAACCAAAAAACAGTTTTGTATGTTATTGTAAAAATGCACTGCATATTTTTATTTATTCATTATTTTTTGTATTTTTTTTATCTGTGCCCTCTATCCATTACTTGCATATAAAAATGGAGCTTGCTTCCTTTTAATGATGTTTTTCATATCACTGAGCTGGAAGAATTTTGGGGACATTAAACTAGACAGAGCAGTAGAATGAAAAGATCAGTGTCATCATGCGTTAGAGAGATTTCTTACACAGGCTCAGGGCTATAAGCCCCAGAAATGCCATCTAAACCTTGCATAAATAGCTTATCTTAATTTTGCTCGAAACAGAACCTTCACACATTATTCTAGGACATAGAAAATTAAACAATATTTGTCAATTAAAAGGGCAATATCAAGAAAAACTATTATAAATTAAGTGAAAGCAATATCTTGGCAAATAACCACTCATATACTATTACTGACCACTTATCATGGACCAAATGATGAATTTTAAAGCCAACAGATGGGAGGTTATGTATATAAAAACCAGTAGTGACACAGTGTTTTATAATTGAGCTTTCACTGGTGATCTGGTTGAATTTGTGTCAAATGAAATAATTAAAGACATACTGGAGTTTAATACATTTTTACCAAAAGGGGGCATCTCCATAATGTTGGCTTAAGATCCTGCATAGAGTTTAAGTGACTCTAACGCTCAGAGATTGAATGGGCTAGTTTGAAAAGTCTAAATGCAACACATATGACATTGTATAGGCAACCTTGATAAATTGTTTTTGAGTCTGTAGATGCTCACCGAAATTTTGGAAAACAAAACACACATTTGTGGTATCAAATTCAACCTGTGGAATTAAATTGACATTAATATTTGGTATCACCGAAGGTGGTAGGAAATGGAAACCAAACAATGGAACCAAAGGTTTCTCCAAACTCTAGCAGCCACTGGCAGGAAGTTTATTCAGATACAATGACTCCAACTTCCAATATCCTGTGCACGTGTTTTCCACAAGTTCCTAAACGTATTCTGCTTAGACTGGTCAGAAAAGACACTCCATAATTATTAAAGAACCACATTTTTTAATTTATTTTTTTCTTACTTATACTCACTAATGACATTCTTCCTTTTGCCCATCAAGACTAACTTATTACAATCATGGACATACAGCTTGTATTATCTAGAACTCCCAGAAATAATATCCATATCCCACTGGACAGAACAGACATGACACTATTGCTGAATTTTCCTTAACGACAATCACACCCATCCTGTCTCTTGCAGAAATTCTTACGGGGGGATTATATCTGCACAATACTTCATGTATTCATGGAGCATATTACTATCTATTGTTTACTTGCATAAGATTTGTTTACCTTTCTTTGATTTAAAAAAAAAAAAAAAAGTTTACCACCCACACACCCTCTGAGCATTCTCCGTAGAAACAAATAGAATGCCAATGTTGATTTCCCCAATGGTTATACTCCTCCCCACAACAACATGACTTTCTCACACTTTTAAGCGTGTCCTTGTACAAAGATCTGGGTCCTTGCCTTCTTCCAGGAGAACTGAGGGCCTCCATGGTGTTCCTAGGAGGGGAACCCCTCCACAACAATAATTTAAGTGAGCCGAGTCCTTTCCTGTTTTTCGAGAGCTCAGTGCAGACGCGACAAAGCCTAGAATTTGCACTATTAGCTGAAACTTAAATTATGCAAAAGCAATTCATAATAAATACCAACATAACACATTAAAACTTCAGACGGAAGTGTAATTGAATATGGAGAGTGCAATTTTTACAGTTTAACTATGTAGCCCCAAAACTTACAATTTACAGGTGAGTTCCAAGCAAATCTAGCTTTAATGAATAACTTGTTTATTAGAAGAGGCAGTGAGGCCTACAATATGTGGATGTTTCATTACATACCCCAGTGAGAGAATACGTGTTTTTGCAAAAGTTAAAGGGACATTCTAGTCACCAGAACAACTACAGCTTATTGCATTTGTTCTGGTGAGTATAATCATTCCCTGCAGGCTGTTTGCAGTAAACACTGTTTTCAAAGAAAATGCAGTGTTTACATTACAGCCTAGTGATAACCTTACTGGCCACTCCTCAGATAGCTGTTAGAGATCCTTCCTGGGTCATGGCTGCCTAAAATGCATCCAAACATTCAGTGTCTCCACCCTCTGCATGCAGACACTGAACTTTCCTCATAGACATTCAATGATTCAATTCATCTCTATGAGGGAGATGCTGATTGGCCAGGGCTGTGTTTGGCTTGTGCTGGCTCTGACCCTGATCTGCCTCCTTGACAAGCTCAGCCAATCCAATCGGAAAGCATTTTTATTGGCTCAGAACACAATGTTTGATGTCAGCCAAGCAGACAGATCAGAGGCAGAGCCAGCAGCAGCAGACTGCAATAAAGGTAAGACTTTGCTATAATTAGGGAGTCAAAGGCGGGGAGGGGCTAGATGGTGTTTTAACATGACTGGGTCAGGAATAAGTTTGTGTTCTTTACCCTATAGTTTTCCTTTAAAGATACTTTGTTGTTTTACCTTTTACATCTGCAAAAACTCTGTATTTTATGTAAAATGGGCACCGAGCTAAATAAAAGATGAAAAGGCTGGCACAGTTGGAAGTAAATTCTGTATTTCGTTCTGACTTTTTTGCCAATTACAATAGTACTAGACTTAATTACTGTGAACTAATGGCAACCTATTGCCTGCCATAAAATATAGACTTCCTAGATCACTATGAGAAATATGAATGTTTTCTAACACGTACATATATCTTTAGACTTTCCAATGCATTTTATATATACAATCAACACATGTTTACACCAAGTATTATTTTAGGTGAGTTGCTTAAACAGAAAATCCATTCAAGGCCCTAGGCTTACAGGTTGTGTCTGTTGCAAGGTGTAGCAGATGTGCAAGTTGGCGAACCAGATGTGCGAGCTCTGCCCTGAAACATATGAGGTGTAGACAAAAGACAGCAGTTTCTAATTCCACAAATATTTTTACAGTAAAGGTTAAAGACCTCTTGTGTCTGAGTATCTTGACCGAGTGAAGATGTCTAGATTCCTTCATGGCTATATGAATTCCCATTTACATAAGGAACAGCACTTATACCATGACAAGATATGTTTATCAGCATACCACCAAGCCATGGCCCTTTCTGCCAGATGGCAATTATTTTTAAAAACCACTGATTAACTAGCTGTGTTCACTAATTTATAGATACTATATTTATAAGTAAATTGAATATAGGGTCATGATAGATAAAATTTGCTGTTGATATTCTGTTTTCTTTTCTAGATCCGGATTTCTCATTGGCAATAGGCCAAAGTTGTTTGAAAGAACAATTGGAACAAATCCGCCAACAGACAGAGGAGACCCAGGCTCTGCTCAGAGTTGTAATCAGTCAGACAGACAACATGAATCTGAATGAATGATGTGCAAGCATTCCGTGTGACATGTTTACAGATTCCTGGCTAGTGGGGGTGATATTATATCCTCACTGACTGTTTGTTTGTAGTGTTTTACTTTTACTACAGGTAAGGAAGACATTCAGTGATCTGCACCTGCATTCTGCTAGAAATGCCAGTACATCCTGCCAGTATGGAACACTGGCCTGGTTCTTCACTAGGTTGGAATCAGAATTATCCGTGATTAATTTATGCTTCACTCAGCAAAGACTCAGACATAGATTTCACTTCTTCCAAATGCATCTTCCATTTCTTCCATTTTATTTATTGATTAATAAGCTATTGTTCGATCTTGAAATAACCTTTAGTTATGTTTTTTTCTTTTTATATGCTATACTTTGTGGTTTTATATTTGTTTTAAATGTGGCTCGTTTTTGTTCCTTCTGTATTTTAAACCATAAACACAGACAATGTGATCTTACAATCAGTGTATCAAGGAGCAATTAAATAGAAATCTAAAGTGGAAAGTTATTCCTTGATGCATTTTTTTTTGTCTTATTATTGATTGTAACAGATGTGCTTTCACAATGAAACACTAATTGTTATCATAATTCTAGTTTGCTGTCGATTTGGACAGTGACGGGATCTTTGCAGGATTCCTACATTGCATTCAGATGGAGCTCATGGTTAAAATCGGTAGTCTGGAACTAAAGTCAATGACCATATCATAGTATTGTTTTGACTCTTACAACATACATAGTTCAATAATATTACCAAATCTCATTGAATGGAAATATGCACTGCCTTGAATGATGTAGCTTGACTTAGAAATTAAACTACAGTATTAAAACCAAATCCCAGGATCTGTCCACATAGGTTGTTTTTAAAGAATAGTGCCTTTGGGTAAAAACATAACAGTATCTGCATTAATTACTCATTAAAAACCAGTAGAACTAGTTTGTGAAAGTTTTCACATTTACCTTGCACCTTTAATATTAGATGTTTATTGTGCATGGTTATCAATAGCGTGAAAGTGTGTGAACATTTAGCTATCCTCCTATATTTAATATAAATATTTTCTTACATTTATAGCCAAACATCTTCCTATTATAATCATTAGCAAAGTTCTGTACAATAAGTTTGTGGGAAGTATAAATAAATTCAACATAAAGTTGACATACAGGAAGAAAACACCACACAAACAACGTTACAATCCAATATAAATAAATATGAAAAAAAAAGGAAACCTCACAATATTTGTCACCAAAACAGTAGCATTTTTCAGGTTTTTAGAAGGTGGGAAACAAATGTGGGAGCTACACAATAGTTGCAAATTATGGCTATGTAGCTTTTCAAATTATCACAAACCAACAGCATACATGCTGAATAAATTATGTGAAAATGTAGTGATTTCAAGATGTTATATAAAACTAACTAGAACTGAATGTTGTCTATCCTAGAAAGTCAACTATGATCCAGCAGTTATATACATGGGCTGATGGAACTGTCCTTGGAATTAAAAAAAACAAAAACAATACAACAGACACATGATAACTTGTCCACCATTAGTTGTCCTAACAGTAATGTGAATGACCTTGGACTTATTTTCAATGACCTGCACATTCACAAGATTTGTCTAGCCATACATTTTATGATAAAATCTGTCTCCAACACAGAACTTGCACCTCTCCTTCAAAAGCAGTTCTTTGATTGACATTCATCAACTATAAGCTATCAACAATTCCCAACTAAACTGTAAAATATCAGTCCTTCCAGACAGGATTGGATTAAGAACCTATTGGTCCTGGTGCGGACAATTATGATTGGCCCAAATACAGAATCTTTCTGATCAAAATCACTAAAACTGTTATACCAACTGAGTATCTGGGGGAGGCTGTGAGCAGGATATTAGGAAATCTTTTTTTTCTATCTGTCCATTTTACAAGCCTCAGAGCTCTCATATCCGCACTCACTAATGAACTCTGAATTCTCTCCATCAGGACTCCTTTTTCCACTCGTCTCCTTCCTATTAGAAGGTATGAGCTTGCACTTGGTATGCAGCCTGGGACAGAGAAAGAGGCGAATGTAGTGAGTGTAGCAGAAAGGTGACATACCACACTGTCACATGATGACACAGAATATATTGGACTGCTCATCTTTACATTCTCTGAAAAACAAGGAAAGTGTACTGGTAAGGGACTGGGATGGATAGGATACTCTAATGTAAGTACCAGATAACCACAAAATGGCTGCCAGACCAGGAATGTAATGATAAAAGCAAAAAAATACATTTTATAAAAAAAAATTGAAATATTAAAATAGGTGCTTGTGTACAAAAAGGTGAACAAAGTGATGGGTATTAAACCAGTTACAATAACTAAAAGTGTTACTATTGACACTAGGAATTCTTAAGACATAACACAAGCCTATATAGCTCTGATAGGCTAACTCTAGTGGTATATATAGAAATAGTGTCAATGGATTATCATAATAAACTGGTACAGGTATAATAACTACAAAGCCTGCAAGGAATTAGACCAGGAACATTACTTTGGATGTCACCATTAGTACTAAAATGGATCTCAGAATGTAACTAGTAAATAGTGATGTCCCGAACGGTTTGCCGCTGACTCATCATTGAGTAAACTTTGACCCTGTACCTCACAGTCAGCAGACACATTCCAGCCAATCAGCAGCAGACCCTCCCTCCCACCTCCTGGACAGCATCCATTGTGAAGCTGCATTCTTAGAGAGCTGTCCAGGAGGTGGGAGGGTCTGGGAGGGAGGGTCTGCTGCTGATTGACTGGAATGTGTCTGCTGACTGTGAGGTACAGGGTCAAAGTTTACTCAATGATGAGTCCGCGGCGAACAGTTCGGACATTACTACTAGTAAATATAACTTTGATCGACTGCCTCAAATGGTATATAGAGTTAGTATCAATGGATACTTAATGTTAGAACAGTGAAGGTTGAATATTAGCCTAACGGATACCGGGATAGTGGTATACTGTGGAGCTAACCCGATAACTGTATTATCCTGCACACGTCTGTGCCTAGATATAGAGCTCAGTCAGAAAAAATGGAAAGGTAATGAAGTATAATAAGGAGGTCATAGGGAGAGGGTGGAAGGGAAGCTGCAAGAAAAGTAAAAAAAATCTTATGCAGGAAAAATAAAGATTTAGTTTCACACTCTACATCCACATACTTAAATGAGGATGGTCAAATCATGTTGGTATCCGTAAGGTAGATAAAGAGGAAAACCTGCCGAGACTAATAATGCAAAAATCCTTGCAACCCCTCCCGACACTAAGGATAGAGGAGTAATGCCTGTATAGGATGGGTAATAACCAGGCTTTGTGGTTAGATATCTATTGGTATGAAATTCAACTGTGTTATGATAACAGGTTATACTCCACTCACGAAGTGGTAGGTAAACGGAACACTGCTCCCATATGGTACTAAAGAAAATATCCCACCAATAGCTTACTAGTGCTAAGCTGCTTCCCTCCCGTGCCTTCAAGGGCACCTACCGCTATTCCCGATAGGGTATGACAACCTAATTCTTGCAAGCATATAACATAACGAAAGTGTAAAATAATTAAATCAGTAGCACGGTAGCAAGTCTGTGTGCTATTTCTAAGTCATGAGAATAGCACAACTAGGACCCCTTGATGCGTGCGTTTCGCTCGACCTGGCTCGTCAGAAGGGAACCGGCCGGTACAGAGCACTGAATTGAAATAGGAGGAGAAATTCTGTCATTGTTTCAGAGTGAAGATTTCTGACTGGTAAGTTTAAAATACGTATCTAATGACGTAGTGGAGTTTTTTGTTTTTTTTATATCTCGGGATGGTAATCACCTGAGTCGAATAAGTTAACCCCTTCCTGGATGTTTAAAGATGTTAAACTTATTTTCACTTGGAGTCAATTTTTAACTTCTGTAAGTAAAGTAGTTGAAGCTTAAATGGTAATAATTAAATTTCTGAAATTACTAAATGTGCTTGTGGTCAATGGAAACCTAAAGTTCTTTTTATTAGGAAATAATTGTATTTTTTCTCGTAATTGCTTTTAGCAGAAGAAAATAAGAGAGAGATCTCTGTTAAGTGTGATGTTCATAGCGATGTTTTGCTCAATACTGAGATATTGGAAATAAATAAAGTTACAACTGTGTATCAGAAGGATTAAAACTTTCTTAGCCACATACAAAAATAAAGTAACCGATTAGAGAGATACATTTTGTCTCTCAGACGTAGTGCTTATGTTATGTTTTCATAAAATAATCTTATTTATCGAAATGTACTGAGTACAAACATGTATATGTGCAAAGATGCTACTGTAGACTTATAGTGACTATGTTTAGCAGGCTGGAGGGGATTTACCAAATTAGTTTATGTATGTATACAAAGAGAAGTGCTGATAATGACTTTTAGAGCAGCTGCATTTATAATGCATAAACAATTGAGCTAATTTGTACTGTAAGATAATCACAGTATGGAATGGCGAGATGGATATGAAAAAGTAGTACTATACAATGGTCTTTCATGTGTTAATTATTTCGGCACATAAATGTTATTACTCATTGAGAATAGGTTACATTCAGTTAAAAAAAATCTGTTGAAAGTCTGGATGTTATAACAATCTGTGGCATGGTTTCTACTACTTGTCTTTGCAACTACTCTGTAAGTAGGCAAAAGACTTCTTTTATACCATAAATGAATCACAATATCTGAAATGAAAGTGTGATTCCATCCTTTAGTGGGGAGAGTCTTTTCCCAATGTATGTGTGCAAAGATGCCTATAGTACCTGTATTTATCAAGCATGGGGAACTTTATCTCAAGCTACCCAATTAGTTTAAGTATGTATACAAAGAGAGGTGCTACTGATAACTTTTAGATCAGCTAGATTTCTAATCTTATACTACATGAAGAATGGAACTACTTACACAAACATGTATTCCTGACCCTATAGTGTTAAAACCATCATCTAGCCCCCCTGGGACCCTCATGACTCCATAAATATATCAAAATCTTACTGTATTCAAGCCTGAAGCTGTAGATCTGCATGCTGTTTGCCAAAAAAAAAAAAAACAAGCTGCTGACATCATCAGAAGTGGTAGCCTGATCCAATCACAGTACTTCCCCATAGGATTGCCTGAGACTGACAAAGGCAGATCAGGGGCAGAGGCAGCATGATTCAAACACAGCCCTGGCCAATCAGCATCTCCTCATAGAGATGAACTGAATCAATCCAAGTCCCTACCTGTACACTTTCCTTGTTTGACAGTTTTCCATTTGTGGTTACCCTCTGTTCCTTAGTGTACCTAGTATTGGCTCTACCCCAGTTCTTTTTTTCTTTCAGTTCTTTCCATTCTCGGTTTCATAGTCACCCAATAAATACATGTTTTGTTTCCCTGCATAACTAAATTGCCATACTTAGTTCTCTATGTACAACATCATAGAGCTAGAGCATGTAAGGAGTAATGCAAAAATAAATAAATAAAATTCCCTGGCCTATTCCCTGGGCACAGACCTGTATCTGCAGCTTCTTTAGCCCCTCTGGTAATCCAGCCTGGTATCCAGACAAAGGTTTTTACGCTCACATTTTTCCTTTTGTTTTCCTGTTGAATGTGTGTTTAAAATTATCCTGCTTTTCTCTTTAAAATATTATCAATATATACTTTCTCATATACCTAAATTATAAAAAATTAATCAACTTTAAATCTAAAAACCACAAAAGGTGCAAAACAAAGATGTCTTAAAGTGTATTCAAATTAATGTATTTGTGTAAAGAGGTGCAATCCAAGGCACAGAGTAGATATCACTTACAAGGACACTACTGCCCATTAAAGCACTTTAGCTTGCTGAAATACTTAATGTAAAAAATGTGTTTGATTTTTTAAATTTATTCAATAGAAATTGGCACTTCAATAAATACAGGTAACACTCATGGCCGGCGTATCCATAAGGCGGGAGTTTTTTCAACTCGCCTGTCTCCCTGCAGTCTGCGGAGTTGGTTGGCACCTCCTGATAATGTCAGGAGGAGGCGGCGTGACATCCACTGCTCTTTTCCCAGACTGCTGGGGAGTCTGGGAGAAGAGCAGTGTAATTCACGCCCCCTCCTCCTGACATTATCAGGAGTGCCGGCTGACTTCACTCCTGTCCCCCCTTTCCTGGCCTTGGGTAAGCTTTAGTGAGGGGGCTAATAATAAGCAGCCCCACCACTACTCCTGTGCACTTCTCTACCCACCACAGCCCCTGTCCCCCTCCTTTACAGCCCATGTGCCAGCTCCCCCCCCCCATTTTATCCTGTCCCCCTCTCACAGCCCCTGCCACCCCCTCACAGCACCTGTCCCCCTTCTTCTGAGCCCTCTTTCTTCTTCTGCCCCTCCTTCTTACCCTATCCCCCCCTCTATAGCTCGTGTCCCCCTCTACTGCTCCTGTCCCGCGTCTACAGCCTGTGTCCTCCTCTATAGCAGCTGCCCCCTACACCCCCTGTCCCCCATCTACAGCCCCTGTGCCCTCATCTATAACCCGTGTCCCCCTCTACAGCAGCTGCTCCCCCTCACAGCCATTGTCCCCTCCCCTCAGCCCTTGTCCCCCTGTCTCCTCCTACAGCCCATGTGGCCAACTCAGCTGCTGTCCCACCCTCTCAGCCCCTGCCCCCCC